AGAGTCTTCTGCAGGTGGGAGGTGTAATGAACTTACATGAAAAAATAAAGTAACTTCCATGTGCTGTAATAATAACTTGGAATAAAACCTCCCAGGCACATTTTAATTATCCTTTTAGCAGTTGCGTGTGCCAGAACTTCTAATGGCACATCTCCAGAGCTTAATGATTTTGCAGAGTTATTAAATTGTCAGCCATGTGAACCTCCTCCACCTGACCTCTGCACAGTTGTGTGCTGTTTCCCTTGCTTGGCATATGTATATACTGTTACTTTCCTGAGTTCCCTCAGGGTAGGCAGTGACTGCCTAGCAATTTAGCATCAGACAGTTTAATAGTCCCTCTGCTAAGACTTAAGTGAACAAATACAAAAGAATGCAATTCTCAAGGCCAAAACTGTCCTATGAATATGGTAACAAAAAACAGCAACTTGTGCTTTTAGAGAAGGATTATGTGCAAATCTGACTAGTCGTAGGAACATTTCTGTTATCTGTTAGAGTACATGCTGAGTTAATATTACTGTAATATTTGTAGCGTACTTGTAGCTGTTACAGTCCAGTTAAAACAGTTAATAGCACTGTATTACTGGTCACAACTTTTGTTGGCTCTTCTTCCGTAATCTCACACTCTTATTCTTGTGCATAACTCTGTGACCTGTCTCGTGAGCAAGGGACCTTTCCAGCATCTTGGGCAGGTACTGAGCTGTATGCCCTGCTCCCCAACCATAATTACTTCTGTATCTCTTACAGTGCAATGAAGAGGTCTACATCTGATAACAGAAACAGGAGCGTGAAACATCTAAGCAAAAACGAAGCTGGCGAGGACTGTCTTTGTTCTGTTACTCCCTATTTGCGGTAAACTTGTCTTTTTGCATTAATAGTCTAGTATGATAGCTGGACCACTGCAAATATAAATAGGTGTTACATTGTAAAAGATACTGTGTCAGATTCTATCCTTGTATTTGTGGCATTGTTCATGTTGGCAATCCATAGTTCGTGTTATTCCTTTTTTTTCCCTTTCATATATTGTCTCTTGAATTTTACATTAAAAAGTTCCTCCTCAAATTCACTTCTTTTTTCTGATATTCTGCTGCTAAAAGATGTAGGCTACCTAATTTTTCTGTCCCTAAAGAATTCCAGTTTAAGTTTATCCTGAGGTACTGTTACTGGCAACTTAATAGACAAGTTAAACTATTGAACAGTATAGTATTTAAAATGTAACCCTAGAATAAAAACATTTTCATGATGGCAGGCAAGCTACCCAAACTTGTTATGAAATCTGTGACTGTCAGGCTAATCTAGAACTAACTGTCAGGATGAATCTCTGAGGGGAAGCTGGCCAGAAGAATTGTATGTTCACAGCATAGCAGGACTCCCCTGAGGAGTCCTAGGATAACTCCTTTTTCTCAGAACAAGCTGAGAAAATAGGTGTCTATTACTATAATATGTAGGGGGCAAATATTAAAGGCATCTCAGGCCAGGACACTCCTCTTGGAGAGTCCATTGCACTGTAAACAACTGGCTTTTAAAGACGTGTGAGGACAGAGGAAAGGCAGGCGCTTTGGCCAATTTAGCTTACTGGAAGCGCCATGTGAAAATACCAGCTACACGAGGGAAAAAGTTTTTACTTCGTGACTATGCAATTTAGCTTTACTGTATGCATGCAATCTGGCATGGAAAATCTGAGTAAGTGAAGATGGACAAAGTGCAGTTAAATACTGTTTATTTTGCCTGCCACCGTACACAAATAGATAACAAAAGCTGATTTATCAGAGCACTTGACTGTCTTGTAACCAGTAATTTAATGTTAAATTAAAATCCTTCCCATAGGAAACAGCAGTCAAATGATCTTTCTATGAACATCAATTTTAGATGTGATGAGAAAGGCGAACCTCACTTAATGGCCAGAACAAAGCTTGGACAGCATTTCATACTAAGGAGGGCTGTAGGTCATGTCAGTTTTTATACAGATGAAGATCAGTGTAGAAAAATAAAGTCCCTAGCCTGTTACATGTATAGTCCAATCCAGGAGCAAATACAAACCTAGTTGGTATGACAGTCAGTTTTAACAAGACATGGGTCATGAGCATTTGGTTAATTCAAGAGCAAAAACTCTTTTAAAGTGATTAAAAACCAAAATGGAACATAATTAGGCTTGTCTTCAACATCCAGTTGCAAACATTTTAAAGCACTATTGTTATGCAGAACTTAGGCTGCATAATTCTCACCAGATCACCGATATATCGGCCTTTTACCTCTCTAATGATGGTAGGCAGAAAATAATATGGTTGGCATGAAGTCTTTTAGGACATCAGAATCTCACCGATCTGCGTCTACATTTGTAATCGAACTACATGGTTCTAGTCCTGGATGGAGCCAAAAGCTCATGGTTAGTCATAGTTCGAGTTGAACCTTGGTTCATGTCTAACTTAGTTACTGTCCATCTGTGTTCTACAGAGTCTGTGTTATCTCCTAACAGAGAGATAAAAGCTCTCCTAGCTTTAACTTGTATTCTCTTTGTTAATCTTTAAGTCGCATGGATGATTTACTATGATATTATATGACATTGCTTCTGTTGTGTTTTAGTAGCATTAGCATTATTAAGTCTGACTTCAAAAGGTTTTGTTGTTCAGTATCAGAGAGAACTGGAACTTACCAGAACAGACAAGCATTAAGTGTAGTAAATAGTACTGTGAATATTCTAAAGTAAGCCAGCTCTGAGGTAAGGTATCAGGAACACACAGTGCCTTATCCGACTGTCTAACAGGAAATACACATCTCGTTATGTGTCTCAGCAGGACCGAAAGTTTTAACATCTGAAGCACTTCAAACTGTACGGAGGCATGAGCAGGGCACGAACATGCTAGGTTCTGTACCTCCAGGTTTCCTTTAACAGCTTTTAAGTTGCTTAAAGGGGAGCTTAATCCTAGTGTGGAATACCGTAACTTTTTTTTTTTTAAAAGGGCTCTCGGAGCTTGTTTAGTGCACTCTCCTATTCACCATTTTTGTCTGTTGGTTTTTAGTGTGGGTCAATCCTTAGGTTTTCAGGCACTTACGTATATAAATGCAACAATTCCCACCTGAAAAAAATATCCTTTCCTCCCACTTAATCTGCCTTGAATCAGGATCTTTGTTAGAATTAATGTGGTCAAGTGCAGTTCTCCTCAGGTAATAGACATAGCTGAAATAAACACAAACCCAAAGTGTAATTCAGGTTGCATTCCCCTGAAGAGGTCTGTATATAGAGTCATCTGAGGTGCAGCATAGAAAAGAATTAGATGTGAAACACTTTTTTTATTACTATTAACTGTGTTGAAAGCCAAATTCTATGCTTTCTGTAATATTTGTTTGCAGTAGGCAACTCTATTGGTGGATGCTAAACAGTCTGATCTTAGTCTTTTGAAGAGAGATTAAATAAATAAACTTGCAACTAAACTCCCTTATTGCTTATTCTCCCTTCTGTACTTAACTCTCAAATGTTGAAGGGCATAGAAGAGTGGTTAATCCCTGAGGTAGTGCTGATTCTCTGAGTAAGTTATCTTCCAAGATTACTTTTAAGATAGAAATAAAATGTAATTGAACTATACATTCTCAGTTACAGTAAAAGCGGCAATTTATCTGTAGACCGATTTCACTTCTGCAGGTAAAATTCATGCAAAAATCGGGAGGTTTTTATTCAGTGGTTTAACCAGCCCTTACTGTCAAATGGCCAGAATAATTCAGTGGGTCATCTCTTATGGCAAAGCTGCTTCTGTAAAGTGATTTTCATTTCCTTCCCTGTTGTTTAGATAATCAAACCTTTTGGTACTGGTGTGCATGAAATCTGTGAAGCAAATGAATAGTATGATTTGGCACTTTGTAAGCTAAGCACTAGTAGTAACTATCTTGCTTTCCAGTGTTTTCTGTGCTAGAAAGAAAAGCATTTGCTGGAAGAGTATTTAAAATTCACTATTAAGTGTTGGCAGTTTAAAATATTATCATCATATTAGAATGCTTACTGAGGAAAGCCACCCAAAACTCTTTATAGTAAAATGCTTGCTGAATTGGCTACCATGATTATTTTTTTTATTAAAAATTAATACTTGTTACATTTTCAAGTGTAAATACTGAAAGCCTATGGCAAAATGAAAAGGCACAGGATTAAAAACAGCTTAATTGTTTCCATGGATACATGTTTGCTATTTGGCAAAAAGTATTTTATATACTTTCTACAAGAATAAGCGTCATTTTAAATATATCTCTGAAGGGAGGGACCCTGTAATTTTAACCAGAACAACAGAATTTGTACTCCTAAAGATGTGATCTGTCTAGTAACAGCTCAATTTAAGGTCGCGTTACAGTTATTCTTTGGAGCAGAGGAACTGAAGTGCAGTAGGAGAGTGCCGCTTTGCATTAAGTTAGCAGCTGACAGGCATCTTAACGTACAGCTCACTTTGTAACATATCAAGACAAATAGCAATCTCTTACAACAAGCAGTAATCAAAGTGCAAGTATACAGACAGCATGAGACTTTAAACTAGCTCTAACCTGAATTTGGGAAGAATGCACCAGCAACTGAATCAGAATACTGGAAAACAGTTTAGTGAAACATCTCAAACAGGTTTGCTGAGTCTCAGAAGGTGTCCTTGTAAGACATATTAAAATTATTATTCCTTTCTGAAAAATAGATGTATAGTTGTTTGTTGGTTTTGTTTTTTTATTTAAGAATTAGTCTTTGTAACCCTGATGTGGTATCTTAATAACAGTCAGGATGTCATTCGAAACAGTCGTTTCTGTTCTGGAGCATACTGTGGCTTTCAGCAGAGCCCGTCAGTCACTGAGATACCTGTGTACTTCCCAGTGGAACTGTAAGAGCTCGAGTGCCGTAGTTGCCTTGATTCTCACTGCAGTAGCTGCACCATTAGCCTTGGCTGTGACTGGATGGGAGGACGTCAGGCACATCATTGGCAAGAACTGTTCGTTGTGTTACCAGAGTTTGTGTCATTCTCGCCAGTGTTCTTTTTTGGTTACCACACTCTGCATTTCTCTGCAGGATGCATGGCTGTGCCTTTTTTACAGTGGAACACCTCTGAGAATGCTTCAAAGTTCTGCAAAGATCCCATCACCCTAGACAAAGAGAAGGAACTTATTTACATGGATACAGTGCATGGAGATTGTTGCTCTGGAAAACAGAAAGCCATGTCCATAAAGTGATTTAGAGTCTTATAACTCAATTACAGTCTCAGAGTACGGGATACTTTATGCAAGAAAAAAATAGCTAATATGACTAATGAAATGCCAGAACAAACAGAGTCGGTCTGGGTTCTGGTCTGTCCTCTATAGATTGGTAAATTCACCAGGCCAAGTAACGTATTCTTCAGCACTGTCCCACAAGCTATGGGAGAAATTCTGGAAGTTAGTCTAGATTTATCTTGTCTGTTAGAACATAGCTGCTAGCAATAAGCCACTCTCTCCTTTTGTGCCGTATTGGTGCAATGGGTAGAACCAAGTAACTTAGCAATTAGTAAATCAGTTAGAAAAACCCACCTGTATTTCAGAGGGCTGTGAACATCTGTCTTTATTGACTGGATAGCATATTCTGGTCTGTAGGAACCACACCAAACCTAAACAAGAAGGATTAATAATTAGTGGGTCAGTATTAATGGGAATTCGGTTTGGGGACCTTCTATTTTCAAAGTTTTTCCTAAGAGCCATCCCAATTTGTTACAATATAGTTGGAGTACATTTTATAGAGGAGGCAGAATAGATACAATTATTTACTAATTAGTTTTTGTTTATCGATTTCTTGGATTGAGATCTGATCCTTTGGGATAGATATATTAGCTCTTGGTTTCACCCATGTGTTTCCTCAAACAGATGAGCTGAAGTCTGAGAGTCTGAGGCACAACATTAAGTGTGTTGGCGTACTGTCAAATATTTGACCTACTGTTAAATATTTGTTACTCTAAGAGTGTAAACATATGGGAGTTTCTTATCCAGCCTGAAAGGTGATATTCAGCTCAGCGAATGGAATTGTTTCTGCATTGTAATAAAGTGGTATAGAGGAAAATAAGCAACATCTGTGATTGAATATGTATTCCTATTTCAGGGCTGCTGGCTTGGTATTTCTCAGGCATTCAGTTTGCTCCAGCACATGTTAAAAAATGGATGAAACCCTGTCTGTATCGAAAGCAAAAGGAATTTTCTCATAAACGTTAGTGGAACCAATATTTACATGAAATGGCAAGCTCTTGGAAGTTGTTGTCCCCCCTAAGTTGTTGTCTGACATGCCTTTTTGTTTCTCTATATCCTCACTCCAGCAGGTTTCAGTAGTGCCCTCAGAAAAGTTACTGAAAACTCTTTCCTCTGATCACTAAACTGTCTTTTTCACATCTGTCTTGAGAGGCTTTTGATGAGTGCAGTCAATGGTGAGTCACTGTCCAAGTGGAGCTTGGCACTGATTTTCTCTCTGACCTTTACGAAAACATAATTTATACTTTCTTGCAACATGTAGTGGCTGCATCTTAAGTGTTCTTACCTGGGCAAAGTTGAGGAAGAAAAGCTGTTTGTGGGATAGATTCAGTCCAGGCAACTTTGGTTCCTTCCCTTCCCGTTCCAGCCATTTTAAGTAGGCCTAGAAATGATCGTAGATTCAATTCAAAGAAGTAGCAGGATGGCCTGTTTGGGCATGATGGGTATCTTGAATGTTATTTTGGGGTGAGAGATTTTAGTCATAATGTATATGAACCCAACATGTCTTCCCTTCTGTATTTTTGTAGTTTTTGTCTTTCTAATACAAGTAATAAATACAGCTAATTTTATGAAAAAGCTGTCATCAGAAGTACTCTGTTGCCTTTTCTAGCAAAAAAAAGAAACACAAAGATAATCTGCGTTCAGCTTCTTAAGTACAGTAATCTCTGAACTGAAAACTGCTATAAAATATGAAAAAATACCAAACTGTTATATGGAAGTGGAATTTTAGAGTAGTAGTTATTGTTGGCCAGTTGACCTTCACTGCAGGAAGCTATATGTGTTCTTTATGGAGTCACTTGAAAATCTATTCTGAATTTCTTCAGCAACATGAAGAATAGCAAACAATAGTTTGCTATTGTGTCTCAGCAAGCAAGCGTGACAAAGTGTAACTGCTAAATACTATGTTTAAGTTTAGCTGGTGATATATATTAAATGCTATGGGGACTGAATGCCCATGACTGCAGTTTTGAAGTAAAATCATCTGCTTTCGCTGACTTTTTCTATAGGATTTTGTATCTGGAAATGAAGTGTTAAGTCTTCCCCACAGTTCTGTGGTGATGATTTTTATCTCTTCAGGTGACTGCTCATAAAATAGCAGATAATAACCTTGCTCAATGTTAAATCCATTACCTGTTATTATTACACATTAATTGGCCAATTTTCTTTTTTTAGGTATATTGACATAATGGAGACAAGTTAATGTGTCCTCATGCTGGGTAACTTCCAACGTTCTATTACCTTATCCTCTTAGTTGCTGAGATTAGTCCCAAAGAACATAGAAGGTAGAGCTGAGGGTGAAAATACATTCAGCACCACAACATCAGAGGATTCTGTATGCAGGCAGTTTATGTCATACTACACTACTCTTCCACATCTGTAATAGCTTTTAGAACCAAGTACATATTCATTTTATTAGAGTAATTCATTTTAATAGTATCCCTCAGAGTCAGAATTGTCAGTTATATTTCTGAAAATTCAGGATGTTTTTCAATAAACACCCATAACTGTTGCAATACTCAAAACAGCAGAGATAAAAAGTTTTACCATGACATCTGTTAGGATTATTCATAGAAAAGAACATTCCATGCTCACACCTGAGGTCCACATGGAAAGAGCCTTTGTACAGATAACTGCTATGTTCCTATTCTTAACAATGGTTTGTAAACCTGGAAGATTAAAGATACTGACTGGACTTCCCTGAGTCTGGAAGCTGACTTCCACTGGTAGAGCAGGAGAGAGAAGGTGATACGCAATAGTGTTTATAACAGAAAAAAACATGCTGAACAAAATAGTTTTTCAGCTGCAGCACGGAGGTAGTGCTCTGAGGTATCAGTCGTATTTCTCTTGTTTTGAAAATAGCTGACTGGTTGAAGCAACCTTTCACCTTGGAGAGAGGCAGGCAGATCTGAGATTATCAATCCTTGCATTTTTGTTCTGCTTTCTAGCTGCATGGAAAATAAATAGCAGCAGGGTAGGAGGGACTTCTTTGTGTTATTTTCCTAAAGCTTATAAAACACATAAAGAAAGCAACAAAAGGACCTAGGCTTTTAGAGACAGGTATTCTGGTAGATGTGATCTGTGTCCCTCCTGGGAAAGAGATGGTATTTCCATCTATTCTTTTCACGTCCTACCTGACATGTCACTTTTGAGATCAAAGATGAAAAGCGTGAGAGAAATAAACTTGGGAAAAACAGTTGCTCTGCTTTATATCATCACCAAAATGGGTTGCCAAGAAATTAGTGCTCTGTTGCCATGTGACAAGCTGTTTGAAGTTCCAGCTGCCATTTTAAAAATTAAGGGCTTAGAAAAAGGGGGGCATTTTACCTTTTTCCTGGCTAATACAGTGCCTATTTAGGAACGTTGCCCTTGTTTGCCTGAGACAGAAGTATGCAGGGGAAGCACTGCAGTACATCAAAGTATAGCTAGGAGAATTAGGTGGTCTTCTCCTGGGTGCAAGAATGCCAGTAATCCCATACTGTGATAGGATCTACAGGCACATAAGCTTCTAGATATATAATTGAGGCTTTAAGTTTTTGAATATGGTAACAACATGGTAATTGTCAATTTTTTTCTGACAGAATAGGTAGCCCCATTGCTGAATCCCAGGGGTAAAGTTAACTCAGAGTATATTTGAAAGGTACCTTATAAGCCTGTCGGACTCCTCCGTTATCTGCAATATTTTCTCCTAATGTGCTTATTCCACTGACCTGTAAAAATAATAATCATTCATTCACTCTATAGTCAGTAACATTAGCAACCCTAAGAACCACAAGCTGAAGCACAGTCATACATCACGGATAGACGGTCATGTCTTGAACCGATGGAAGCAGTGACTTTGTGCTAGGGCAAAGGAAGAAGAGAATGAAAATAAAAAATTAATAGGGTAAAAGCTGTAGATTAGAATAGAGAGAATATATACAAATATAACATGAACAGAATATGGGCTGCTGGGCAGAACATAGGCTAGCAGGAGTGACAAAATACAGCAGCAAACACCAGATTTCTGCCCCCCCTTGCAAAAAACACCTCATAGGTCTGGTAGCAAAAGCACACGTGGGCCCGGTTCACCATTAACCCAATTGCACACAGATATTGCTAGTTTTCGAGGTGACACTAGTATCCCCAATTGACGAGAAACAACCCTTGTATCTTATTCCCAGAACAATTAGCCTGTAGTTATGTGGGGGTTTATGCTTATCGTCTGCAGAGATTCTCCATTTACAGTCATCATTTTTCTGTATAAAAACCCAGTGGTGTGGAAATGGTTGTTTTTACTTACATTTTGTCCTCCAGCGAGCTCCCATGTGTAGTTCCCATACTGATAAACCATACAACAAGACTGCTTCTTGAAATGCATAGCTGAGAAATTGCTCCACCAGTCAAACATATTTCCATCTTTGTCAAAATTCCTACCTGAATGAAAATCCAAGAAAATAGGAAAGTTTTGAGTGAGAATGTGTTAGAGCAACTGTCCTTCCAGTGTAGCACCTGTTTCTTTTTAATGTTAGAGCTGTACTTCCTCCCCTCTTTCCTCCTTTGGTTTTGATGGTCTGTGCTACAGAGATTTATCAGAAATGGTTTTGGCACGGTTGATTCTGCTTGGGCACAAGGGAATGGACAAGATCAGTTGGGGTCCTTTCATCTCCCTTATTCCGTGATTTCCTGTTCAGTCAGCAGCCCTGACTTCAGTTATAGGAGTAAGGCCTAGTTTTATTTCAAATTGGATTACACAGACATCATGTAACAAAACTTTCCACCACCTTTGAGGTATCTATGGTGCTTTTTCTGTGTGTCCATGTGACAGCTGAGGTTCATAGAGAATTAATTATTTTGCCACAGCAGGAGAAAGCTTGAATTGCAGTTCTGGTGTTTGTGTTCTCAGATCTCTGGCTAGAGCATGCTTTTTCTTTGCTATAGATCTAGATTTCTGAGGCTATATTGTGTGCTTATGTGTAATCTGCAGAAGCTTAATTAACATGAAAAAAACATATTGAGGAAAACCCACGTATAAGAAATTACTGGCTTATGGTATCGGAAGTGAGTTTTTGCCCAAAACTATTTTACATAGCATTATGTAAATGCTAAAGAGAATAAAGTAAATTTATTTCAAATGTTTGCACTGAAAAAAAAAAAAGTCTCCTGTGATTTCAAGACACTAGGGACAGCTCTTCTGTCCCAAGAATGTAATTCACAGATTTCATTTTACTTTAGGAGCCAGTATATCTGGTTGCATTGTATTTCCAATCTGATGATGCTGTAAAAGTAACAGCTTTTCCTGAGAATTGTCATTGACTCAATTTATTTTTAATGTCTGCTTACTTCTTGTGTGACCTGCTTAGTTCATGAAACATTCACTGCAAAACATTCAACACAATGTGAATACTGTGCTTGTATTGCTCCCAGATCGTGACTTGGTGGATATGTGATCGTGTCTACATGGGTACTTCAGTCACAGCAGTGTGTAACTTTAATTTCTTACAGTGTAATGAGTGCAACTGAAAGAATAATATTTTCTCAGTTATCTTCTCACCATTGTCATCAAACCCATGGGTAATTTCATGCCCAATAACCATCCCGATCCCTCCAAAGTTCAGGGCTTGTGGTTGGTGTTTGCTGAAGAAGGGAGGCTGTAGAATCCCAGCAGGAAAAACTGCAAAGAGAGGAAGAGAAAGGGAGATACTGTAAGGTAGCTTTATTTTTGCATACTTTGCAGACAAATTGTTTGCTTGGTTTAAGGATGAGGAGGGAACATAAAATATTATTAGAAACAACATCATGCCTCCTAGTGTGAAATTGTTTCTCTCTTGATAAATGGAAAATGACAAGTTAATAAAGGTTTAATTTGGCACATCTGCAACAACAATATCTCCTTGTTTGAGAACCAAGCATCATTTACATTTCAACTTTAGCCTAATTTGGTCCATAATGTATGCTGGTGTAAGTCAAGAACAAAATGTTCAGTAACTGCCTTTTGGAGATAGGTACAGTTTGTGTTTTAGAGCCATTTTATAGGGGAACTAGTGGATGTTTTATTGCTTTCTTTTTGTGAAAGAAAGGTTATCAACCATACGCTGATTGCCAACAATACTTGGTGTGCAAAACGTGCACAACAGTAATTCCTACAGACCACCACGTGCAACTCGGATGCCAGTCTGGGGTGGGAGGCAGTAGGAGGTCTACCCTTCTTCAGTCTACTGGCAGAAACCTTAGATAGAATCAATGGGATTTAGTCTCATCCCGTGTACGTAAGATGAAAAGCCTATATGCTTCTAGAGGAATTAAGACTGCAAGCAATTCATTCTAATAAGATACTCTAAGAAGTGAGATATTGAAATTATATAGCAAATATTTCATTTAGATAAAAAAAACTTTTTGACTATATAGAAGGTTTTATCCATACAGTTTTGAGGAGGAATATGTAAGACTGCAGTAAGACAGAAGCAGGAAGCTGGAAGTAGTGTGGAAAATTATTTTCCTCAAACTACAGACAGGAAGAAACAGGATTTAACTGATGCCTACACTATTGTGTGTAGCTGTGCTTGGATTTTTGGCTTGCATATTCAAGTTGCTTAAAACCAGTTACTTCCATATTACTTATAAAGGCAAAGTTGTAGAGGAACCAGTCTTCTTTAAGACCCGAGTTCCCTGCCCGGACAGCTGGCTCACAGCTGATTACAATCAGCATAAAACTGCTGTGGATATACAGGGAGCCTGAGCTTGACTACAAGAACAGCTTCAAGGTGGTCCATGCTAGCAAGCTAAAGGAGTACCCTGCTATGCCTGAAGGACTGATCACAGCTTTTACTGTCCCTACAATACAGAGGTAAGTGGAAGCTACACAGATGAAAAATAGTTCTTTTTGATGAGGCTAGGAGGCTAAATTCTGAGCACTTTGGATGTTTCTGCTTTTAGCAATTAGCTTTCCTTTGTGATGGTTGGTTGGTTGGGTTGTTTTCCTGGCCTTTGCCTTGTGAGCAGGGTACAGTTACTGTCTGGTCTAAAAAAACCATGGATTTTTCCTCTTACGGTATTTGGCAGTACTTGGATAGCAGATCTTCCTGGCAGACTGGGAATTTGAATAAGCACTACTTAGTAGAAATTACTTGGTTCCTCTCCTGTTTGGGGTGCTTAGAATTCAGTATAGACTCTACAGCATCTGCAGGCCTAACCTGAACTTCTGGCCGCCTGCACCAGCTCAGAGATCAGGGAGCATGGTGAGCCAGACAGGGTCACTATGTCTTAAGTCTGAAGATCTTCTTCTGTGAAGAACAAGAAAGGTCAACCTAGCAACTCTGCAAAAACTCGCCAATCTGACATTCTGTGAGCAGAGGCAGTTTTTTTAGTCTGGTGTGCCTCTTACCAATATAATTTCAGTCTCACCTGTACAGATAGCAAACTGGAGAGCTGTCCATATGTTTGTCAGGGATGTGGAAACATGAGTACAAGCATTCTCTGGTCTCGCTATATGAAGCTGGCACTCATATAGTAGCAGTTACTATCTCAGGCTTTCAAACATAAGGCTGTTCCAGTTGCAGTATATAAACTATGCCTGCCAAGTCAGGGAGGGAAGCTGAATATTCATCAACAAAGCAACTGCTTGAAATGAACAGCCTGTCTACCTTGCCCAGAATTTCCATAAAGGAACAGGCAAGTTTGCCTCTGAATAGCAGACTTACACCCTTTTGTGGCGCAAAAAATTATTAATTAGTTCCATGCAGTAGTTTAAAACTGTTGTAAACCTACCGATCTGGTTCCGATTGGGGGAATAGAATGCATTGACCACTGCTGCTCCGATTATCCATCTAAAAATAAATGTTGCACACAAAGTTAGTCATATGATTTGGGTTTTTTTAAGACATTCTTTTTGTTGATTTATTATTGTTAAAAAATCACAGGCTACATATAAGGAAAGGATTGAGGTAGGGAAAAAGGGTGCCATTGAACACAGCTGTAAAGAAATACTAATACCAGGAGATAACTAGGGTCTCATTTACGGGTACCTTTCATCCAAAACAATGCCAAGTTAAAGTGAGGAATGCTTTTGCTCTTGAATGTTGGAGAGCCACATTGGGGTAGAATATGGTAACTGTTTACCAGCTCATCTTAACGCTCTCTGAGCTTGAGAAGAAACAAATAGTTTACATTCAAAAGAATTAGCATTTAAAGGACACTTTGAGCAGCAGAAGGCATAGGAAGTTAAGACCAAACTTGTCTGATGAAAAATTATATATCTGACTGTGATTATTCAGTTTTAAATGTCTGCATTTGGAGTCCAGTATTTCATAGATAACGAGTGTTAACTTTGAGAAGTAATTTTTAAGTAGGCTACTTTTGGAAACTCTCTTCAATACCATGACAACTTTGTATTTTTCTTTCTCCTCCCCTTCTCTTCTCCCTCTGACATACACTTCTAGTCAGCCTGCTCTAACGAACCATGCAGTAACTGTCTGAAGCCATGAACTCACGATAAGGATTCAGCAGCATCAGCCTAAGATATTCTTCTTCCCACATCTCTTGTCCTTATAGCATCTTGTGATGCCCTAGGTGCTGTATCTGCTATTATTTTGACATAACCACTTGTGGGCTGCTGTGGAATGGAATCAAATTTCCTGCATAAGAAATATGGCACATGTCTATGACTTTCAGTTTTTGAGAACTTGGTTATTGTGGACTAACAGAATAGAGAGGTCTACTGATCACAGCCTGGGAACAGGAATAAGTGGTAGAAGTGAGTTGTGCTGATATTGCTGCTAACCTGTGTGTAACACATCCATAGAGAGGGAGTACATGGAAAAAGTGCAAGTTATTGGTATTTCATATATCCTCAAACTACCAGGCCAAGAAGGCCTAATTCATGAATCCATGAACAGGTTCCCACAAATGTGCTTTACACCACACCTAGAATGAGCAGAGGTATTGGGAATTTTGGCTAAAGGGCTACCATCTCTCTCTGTAGACAGACCGTAAAAGGCGGCAGTGATCTATAACACAGTTTGTGGATTAAGAACACTAATCCTGTGCAAGAATTTTTGCTATAAAGAGCACCTCAAGAAATGAGGAATCAGAAAAAATGCTCTGTTATTTATCTGACTGATCAGAAAACACCATTGGTGAATTATTCATCAATAATTGACTGGAGGTTTCTAAGTGTATTCATTGTGTGCTCGCATTTTGAGTTAAAACCACTTCTCAGGAAGAGGGATGGAAAAAATGAATAGTCTTTGCAACAACTTGACTAATGCTTCCCTTTGGAGAGCTTTCGGTTGCTTGCTTATTAATAACTCTGTGTTATTTTATGTTTTATAAAGAGGTGTTTGAAATTGTTATTGAAATCTACTTTCCTTTGTCTTGAGACATTCTCTTCCAGCCTCACACAGGCTGGAAGCCTACTAGTGAACAACACATCGAGTTGGCGTTGGCTTTCTTACTTCTGCCTCCCTTTACAGTGTACCTGTCACTGAGGTATTCAGCAGTAGCTTTGCCAGTTAGCTGTGCTGGAGGCGTCCAGCTCAGGCAACTAACTGGACTATTAAAAGTTCCGATTGGCTAGCTTATAGCTCTGGAAATCAGGTCATATTCCAAGGCATTTGTTGCTGAACATGCAAGCCAGGACTTCTGGGATGTATCCATGTCATGGACTTGGCAGGAACTCAACTGCACTTGAAGGACTGGAAGGGTCGTCCTGGTGATGCTGCTTCTTACTGGTTAGTGATGCCAGCTGCTCACCTTGGAGCTGTTAGTAACAATTTCTGAACGTGGCACTTTTATTTGCTTGTTTTTAAGACTAGCACTAGCTGAGGATTTGCCTAGGAGTGGAGAACCGTGAGGTAACAGCCAGGGCAATACAGGTTAAGACCTGAGACTTTCTCAGGATGTGTTCGTGGAGTCAAAGAAGGGATCATGAAGCCACCAAACCTGCACCTATGACAGGAAGTTCTTGAAAATTACATTTATACTTTACTAGGTGCAGTATGAAGTAATCGACTGGAAACAGGCATAAACTTGATCTGGTGCTCAACTTCCCCAAGATTGGGCATATTTTCAGCAGAATTCTGGCCAGAATATGTTAAGCTTTTTTCCCCTGAATATAAATTTTCAGAAGTTCCCTTGATATTGTTTATCTCATCTGCTCCTTGCTGAGTTGTCAGAAACATCTGTCACTGCTTTTGTGTTAAGTAGTTTCAATATAATATCTGAATGTGAAGCAGCCTGATGAAGGATTAGAGATTCCAAGAGAACTGGATGAATTCCTACCGCAAGAAGCAACTACATGTTTAATTCCAGGAAATAACTTACACGATCTCAGACATAAGCATCTTTGGCTATCCACAGCACATGACTTAGACATGATAACCATTCTTTCAGAATTTAGATAGCATGCAGTCTGGAAACTTACATATCTTGATCAACTCTCTCTCGAAGTTTTTTCAAGCTCTTTTGGGCTCCAGCTCTCAGGTTCTCCAGAATGTTTTCGAAGTAATTGTGTTCACTGAAGTTTAACTAAAACAGATATCCAAGTATATTGGTAAGCTGTGCGGAAAGAGGAATTCCTCATACCACTTAATGTATCTTCTAAAAAATGCTTTGATTGCAAGGTATCACTTAATAAATGCATGCAAAGAGCTAACTATTTATTAAAATGTTCAACACAATCAATTTTGTATGCTGTCCAGTCACTTGGAAGTGACAGTTACACAGGTATAAGTATTGCAAGTGGCAAGAAAATAAGCGTAGGCTCTTATATTGAAGTATGCACAGCATACTTACATTGGCGTATTCCTGATCTAGTTTTTCATTCTGATCTTCCAAAATATAATCTGGATAGCCAATTTGTTCTTTAATTGCCATTGCCTAGAAGAAGAGAGTTTAATGTTTTCTCGTAATTATGGTTTTTGTTGGTGTGGGTTTTTTTTTAAAAAGTTTCAATACATATAATAGTTCAAATTCTTTATTGCTATTGCCCACCTATTTGTGAGAAACTGGATGCAAATATTTAAAGACCTTGTTCAAATGCACCCTACTGAGACTTTTTTACATTTTTTAAAAAAATATGGAGAACACAGTCTTCCTCTCATCTCCTGTGTCCAGCCACTATGGTAGACTTGCAGACCCTACAGCACCGTCTGACAGGGTTTGGGGTTAACCCTCACTCCATGCTGCCCCCCCTGCCCCTTCCCATCCCCACCCCACCCCCCGCTATTGGAACAGTGCTGATAGTCCCAAAGTCAGTGAAAAGCTTGAAAAGTTTTCCTTGGAGGATTGCGTTGTATTCAGTTGTCATATTCTAGTTGATGCCTTTGGTGCCATCTTCTCTTTTATAACATGGTTCACAAGACTTATTAAAGGAAATAAAAATGTATGTGAGCTAACAAAAGACTAAAAAGAAAAGGACAATGTAATAGGATAGCGGATAACAGGATAGTGAACATTAAAATTTTTTTCTCTCATTTGTAAAGGAGCTTTGTAAAGTGATGCTACAGAATTCCAAAGATTTCATATCCATGACGGAATACTGAAGTTCCTTGTTAACTCTGACCTTTTCACGAGCTTTCTTTTTAGATGCCTCATCCATCCACTGTAACTCATCTAAAGTCTCAACGAACACTTCACGAATCTTATCTATTAAATCTTGGACCTAAAAGAGAGGCAGCAAGAAATTAATCATTTACATGCTATCTTTCCCAGGCACTGCTAAGGGGGGGGATGAAAAGCTTCCAACTGAAAGATGATGTCCCCAAATTCTATGCTCTAAAACATGGTACTCAGCATTTAAAAGAGCATCATAAATGAGTTCTTATGCCTTCTGACTCTTAGCTGATTGATATCTTTAACAGACAAAATAGGTTGGGAGATCAGACGGAGGGGAATGGGCACTGTAGACATTGTGGATTGTACAATAGTACGAAGGGTAAACTACCTACCATCCTCTTGCTCTCACCAGCAAATGTCTCCTTGACATACATTGCTCCCACTGCGTTCTCCATGTTGTTGTTGACGTAACTCACACACTCCCTCCACCGGGCTTCTTCCAGTGTTGTCCCATAAAGTGCCTGCAACACAATGCCACAGGGTTAATTCTGCCTATGCGTCTCTTTTTCTAAATCATTGCCTGAAGAGGAGGTTAACCTAAGACAAAGGTTTCCGTTGTTGTGATTTGCTGTTCTTAGGTTTGTTTGGGGATTACATGACATAGTAATGCCCTTGTGTTGACAAGAACTTGATTTGGTGATTGTGGGACTCTCTTCCAGTACTATGCTCTGTGGGCTCTTTAGGGAAGAGAGGAGATACCTTCCTGTAGCTGGCCCGAGCATCCTTGAAACGCCGACTCAAGCTGCTGACTCGATCAATCACCAGTCGCCAAATGAGGTAGTTCTGGATGGTGCTGTGTGGGAAAGCAAAGCTGAGTTTAATCCCCTGTAAAAAGCAACACTAGTGCAGACAGTCAGAGAGGGATTGTTAATTTTGCATGGAGATAAGGAAGGAAATGATTGCTGCCAGTCATCAGTTTCATAGCATCTGCAGGTGACCGTTCTTATTCAATGGACTGGCTAACTGTAGTGGCAGCCAGACTGAGGACTGTACTACCATGTCTGTTCAGGGATTTATTTATTTATTTTTTTTTTCCTTCTAGAGTATAACAAGAGCTGAGCCTGTGATGTATTTTTTTCTTCCCATTTAACCTTTTCTAAGCATGTGAGCAGGTGAGACCACAGCACTTTGGGACCCTGGGACCTTAGAAGACATTACCCATATTTTACAGGGAAGTGGTGTCATTTTTCTCAGAGAAGCTTTGGCAGAACTACCAAGCGGGCCCAATAATTTACATTTCCACAGTACTTCTGTGACTTTTGTCTTAGATATTCTCCAGTTTCTTTACCTTGCTGAGTACTTTGAGATAATTGCTTTCAGCTCTTGGAGATAGGGCATGCCATATACAACAACCTCTTCTTCTGGGTCAACCTGAACACTTACTGAAGACATGACACCTTGGATGAACAAGGTCCAGTTAAATTCCTAGGCAGACAGAAAGACATATACCAATGCCAGGTGTTTAAGTGCCTTAGTAACTGTCTGGACTTTCTACAGTCTGTGGGAATGAATGTGGTTGTAGTGTTGTTCAGTTAAAAAATGCTTTTTACGAGACTCTGAAGACAAGATTAAGAATGGGAATTACTGTATACCTCTCTTTGTTGCATCACTGATAAATTCACAGGGCCATTTCCAACTGACATGGTAATAAGAGGAGGCTGAAAGTATTAGACTGCTCATTAAACACTTACATTCAGTGCAAACTGTTCCTGTAGCTCTTTTAAGGTCATTTTGTTGTACAACAAGGTTACATCATGCCTTTCTTCCGCGGGGGTAGTTGCCTGAAGACATTCACAAGGTTATTACTAGAATCAACTGACACAAGTGTCAATGACTGAAATTACATGCATGCACATGCACATATATACAAATAATATGTGAATAAAACAGTTTATTTTGGAAAAGAAAGCTCATTCGATGGTGTCCAGTGCTGCTTTCTAAATTTCAGTACAGGAACTCAAGTCCCCCCCCATTCAATAATGTTTCAGTAATGTGTTGAGCCAAGCAGTTCCCTCTGTCCTCTTTAGAATGGAAGACTAAGGTCTTGCAGATTTTTAGGGTGCTGTAGACTTCTAAGGATGCAAGGGAGCTAGCCCTGGTGTTATCATAGTGTATGTTTAGCAGAAGACAGATTATCCTGCTTTAGGAGGCTTCCAAAAAGAAGTATGGCTAGGACTAGAGCAGACACAGTAGCAGTATGTACAGTAGGCATAATTATATACACAGAGGCTCTGATTTCTGGGCTGCTCATGGCACAAGTCTTCTTCCCCCTGCTTTCTTCTAGGCCATGGGTTTTCTGCTGTGTTGAAAACTGCTGCACAAAACAGCACGAGACTCTTCCCCTTGCCCTCCTCAACATCCTGAGAAGTTCTCTGTTTCTGTACTCACGTTTGCAATCTCTGTCTCAAGCTCCATAACCTTTGCCATTTCCTCTCGGACAAAGGAATCATCTTTAGACATATTCTTGTCTTCCCGGATCATTTTGGCAATAGTGATCATGAACTGCAGGTAAGCTTCTCTCACCTGCACACGAGAAACAGAACACGTGTGTAGCGTTGTGAAGAAAAGGTTTGCTGTCTATCGTTTCTCATTCAGCAAACCATTCTGTTTGTTATTTTAACTTTACAGAGTGCTGTAAAAAAGTTGGGCCCAGGGGTCACAGCCTCTGCCCTTGTCTCCAATGTAACTCTCCCCACTCCATTTTCTTGTCCTTTTTTTTTTGTTGTTTTTTTTTCCCTACGATAATAGATACTACTGTAATACCTAGGACCTCAGTTCATCCTGGAATACCTTACAGTGCAGTTGCCAGTCTCAAAATACATCGCGAATGCAACACTTTCCACTTCCCTGTGCAATCCAGCTCTCTGGCGTTCTAAGTTAGAATTACTGCTTGAGCAAAGAGAAAGCTCTGTGCTTTGAGTTACAGTTTGGGAACAGCAATCCCAACTAGCCAAAATACCAGGGTAAACCTGGAAGCTGTAAGTTCTCTGGAAGTAATACCATAAATCTTCTAAACTCTGTTTTTACAGTCTGAAAGAAAAGCTCTGTCTCGGATGGTTCCCAGAGATACCTTTGTTTTATTCCTAATAGGAGGGTACGGCTGCGATTTATGCCTCAGAATGGACGTTGAAAAGATATTTGGCTGCTGAAGGAGCACTGATCTCTGATACAGGAAAGCTTCGTACTACCTATTCTTCTTGCATACTTTTCTTCCTCCATAGACCTTGGAAACCAGATAAATAGAGTAACTCTTGTGAAATTGAGTCTGGGCACTTACATCATGATGATGATGATGATTTGTGTTTTTAGGCTGAATGCTGAGGCCCTAATCAGGCCAGACTCCCACAGGCCTCGGCAGGAGTTTTGCCAAAAGATGCTGGACTAAGCACAGGGGGAGTTTGGGTCATCATAGTTTGGTTCATTGTCTGTGGGAAGTGAGCTGTTAAATAGCAAATAGAAAGGGGTTGTGTCTCCTCCTTATTAAGTAAGATTTAAAAACACAGCCTTAGCCCTTCTTCTTTATAAATTCAAATTAAAACTGTATTAAGCAGTACTGGTTTTCTTTTGCTAATTTAGGATCGTCTACGTACTCTACCTGATTTTCTACCTCCTACGTGTCAATCTAAGTCTGACTTTCATGCAACGATGCATAAATATCCCTTTTTTTCTACTCTAACTGCCGCTGTATAGGTGAAACTTGCAGAACAGAATCCTAGCTCTAGCAGCTATCTGCAGTTCCCAGTGCAACTACGTGGAGATTGTTTTGTATCGCGAGACCGATTAACAGAACTCGGCAGTTTATAAAGGTGTCTGGAAGGTGTGGAAACAATCCCATAAAAACTTCACAGGACTATATTGCACATGGAAATATAGTCGAATACATTGAAATAAGAAGAAAACTAGTCTCGCTGATGTTTTCGTCCGCCTTTACAACCACTAGACAAAAGACTCTAAAATGCTGATTGTTGTCTCTCTCTTCCCTTCCATTCGTGTTAGGAAAATCAGTTTGATGTTAGGCTGCAAATACTCTTTGTTAGTATGACATAATTGAGGAAAAGAAAATGTACTAAAGCAGTATTTTCATCTTGGAAACTGACAAATTATCTGGCTATGTTTGCAACAGCTTTCTATGTATTTACAGAAACCCTCACACTTTTGCTCTGAGCATTGGCAGAGGAAAGCAGCTAGAAAACAATCTCTCACAATTTTCATATAATTTTGAGGAAAGGGGGGAGTAAGTGGCAGCAGATTCTTACTAGTTGAGTATCTGTTACATTAATATAGCTTTTGCTGCTCCACATAAAACACTTTTTTTTTAAATTTTTTTACTTTTTTTCCCCTGAATGAATGTCTGAAAAATTCTGAATATTTTGGTGTTCAACAAGATGTATTTTGGGGTATTGTACGGTCAAATATGATCCGGTATAACAATTCTTCTCCCGTATCTATATACTATCCATCTTTTCAGTGTCTTGTAAAATAGCAGCCGCAACCAGTGGCTTTAGAAGAAAATATAAGTGAATCCAAGATAACCTGCACTGAAAATGTGAACCTGTTCTTCAAAATTAGAGACTATTGTAAGCTATAAAACATGATGATTTTATTTTCCTGTAACCTTCTTACCTGTATGAATTGGCCAATTCTGCGGAGGCTCAATATTTATATAGGTGTTCAGTCCTTTTGTAAACTTTACAACATTTTGGCATGATTAATTAGGAGAAAATGTAGCAATGAATGTCACGGTCTAATTCTGATTGTTACATAGCATGAAGATTCATGTATTTGAATTTTCCAAAACACAGGGAGAAGTAATGAAGTTGTTTTAGTAGCACACAGTAAATAAATTACAAGGAATACTTACTCTTTGATAGTTGCCCCCATTAAAGTAGTAATCCCTGGATGGCATTCCTAAACTTGGCTGGTCAATCTGAAGGAAATCATACATTTTAGTTAATGATGAACAGGAATTGGTGTTGTCCAAAGGTATCCTTGAAAGGCAACATGAAACGCTCATGTGCTGTCCTTTTAGTGTTGGGATGACACTAGCACACCCTTACCAAACAATCAAAGAACTTCAGCTTTCTAGGAACTGGGCAGAGATGGAAGGTACAACTTTTGGATTTCTAGATAAGGGCAGGATGGATACTTAGTGTGGGTTAGTAAGGAAAATCTTTCAGTAACCATTGAGATCTAAGACTAAATTTAAGCAACTTAGAAGAGAAGTTGCTTGACTCGGGCTGGACTTCATGCATAAGCATACATGAACAAACTGAAATATTATTTACATGTTTTAAAAACATGTTTTCCTGCTATATATTAAACCTCACCATCATTTTGCAAGTCACAGGAGGAATTTACAACCCTTAAATGCTGTAAATTGGCAAAGGTCCACTGATTTTTATTTCTTTAACTGAAACAAAAATTATGCTACCATAAAATGTTTCCTAACACTACTTTGAGACAAATCTACTACTTGGGGTACAGAACTGTTGCATGCATTTTGCCAGTGTTGTGCATACCCAATGACTTATGGAAAGCTAATCTGTATGCAGAGTAAATATCTATCCATTATGATCCTGGCATATAAATAATTCCCTGCAATTTTTTTTGTCTTACATAAATGATGTGTCTGCTGGAATCCCGGTCATCGTTCCATACAAACATGTCAATAAGGACGCGTTTGTTAAATCTGGAGTTCATTATGGAGAGTTTTTCTTCCATGCTCCAATTTGGCTCTGGGAGATAAAAGGGAAAATATACATTGTGTGTCAATATGTATCAGGACTGATAGTTTGTAAGCTTATTGCTGAAATTGTTTAGAACCA